CCAGACCTGAAAGTCATTGGCTGCCAAATTTCCTCACACATTGTTTCGATTCTGAACAGGAGATTTTTGTTACCACGCATTTTCGTCTGTCTACTAAAATGCTGCATTCTTCTCAGGCAGAATGTGCCCAGGCAGGTTGGATCGATCTAACTGGCATCGAGATCATGTAAATCATATCGAAGTAATGTGAGGGGGGGGAGAGGGTAAAAAATCGTAGAATATTATACTTCTTTCACCCAGTGCAGTCTGCCAATCGAGTCCATTATTTTGATACAGTCACATCTAGTCATATTTTTTCATAGACGAGCAAAAGCTACCTTTAGTTTGGTACGATACGACCGATTCAAATCGCTCCTTTAAAAAAATCAAACATGCTTTCGAAGGCCACAGTCTAACATTAACCGTTTCCCGTAGCGGTGTAGGGGTTGGACGCTTTGCTGTAGCACGCAGGAGACCCTAGTTCGTTTCCCTCGTGGGGTGAAAAATTGTGTAGAGTATCTCGGTCTTTCGGCTGGGACGTTGTATCCCTGTAAGTCCGGGTTACACCTTACAGGCAGAGTCAAGGCCCAAATCCTAAAAGATGTAATTTGTGTCGATAGTTATTTTGTTTAATTAATTAACTAACTAACTAACTAATTATTAATTAATTAATTAATTAATTACTTTTTATATTTAAAAAAATTCCGGGGGGTATATGCACTTTTAAAAGAAAATGGGTGTTCGGTCAATACAGTGAAATAATCTAAGTGTTGTCGTTGGGGGCGTAAAATCACCTACATTAAAATGTCCTTAATTTTAGTTGTTTCGTGGGTATTGTGTATAACTAACTCACGGCGGCAACATCTGATAGAGAAGCTGGTCAGACTTGTGCTTCTCCTCCTGTAGCTCCTGTGCCTGGAGGTCCGCCTCTCGCGTCACTTTGTCCAGCATCTGCTCCATCAAGCTCTTGTTCTTTCTGTTGGGGGATAGATAATGAGAGTAATGATGATATTAATACTGTTACTAAAGCAAATGAGGGAAAAAACAACAACATCATCAAATGAACATCATCACCATCACCATCATCACATGCGCTCATATGACATTGTGCAGTTGCAAGCGCCGTAAATCTGTTACCTAAAAGAAAAACAAAAACAATACAAAAACTACCATCACCATCTTCATCACCAATGCAGAACAGAGGAAACCACCCCCCTCCCCCCCCAAACATATAGGTGAGGCAGCGTGGTGGAATCAGGCTCTCGTCAAAATAATCAAAGTGAAGAAACTTGCTTTTTCTGTTGGTTTGTGAATTTTTATCAAATTTTTGTGTTTTTTTGGCTCAACACCTTTCATGCCCATTTAAGAACTCATTTCTGTGTGGATTTTTCTGAAAAACGTTGATTAAAGGCAGAAAGAAGTAACTATTCAGTTACCACGGACTGTTTAGCTAAGGAAATAACTAATCTTTGCCTGCCATTTTCTCACTAATTTTACCTCTGAAAACAGGGGACCCCCGCCTCCTTCATTCGCAAATATCTCGACTTGTATTCAAGATAAATGGATATTTTTTTAATCCAAATAAACACAGGTGAACAAGCTTTACGATGAGACCAATAACTCTACATGCCCAAAAATTGACGAGAGCCTGATTCCACCACGCTGCCTCATATAGAGACTTGGATATAGTTTAGAAAATCTTTTGGCAGTACTAAAACATATAGTGCTGTGTTTCACCCACTCGGGCTTCATCAGGAACATTAAACAAAAAACAACAGCAGCACTCTGGTAGCAAAAGCGTTTACCTTTTAAGGGGTTAACACTGGTGTGTAAAGGGGGATAGTTGTGTAGTCAAATCATGTATGTCATAGTGTGTTAATAATAATAATACTAATAATAATAAATAATAAATAGCATTTGTATAGCACATATCCCCGCTCAACAGCAGGCTCTATGCGCTTTACACTGTATTATTACCCCAACAGACCACAGAACACTCCGAAACATTCTCAGCTTCCCGGGAAGCATACAGTGCAAGCAGCTGATTAAGCGCTCAAACACTAAAAAACTGACAAGATCTTTCGCTGTCTATAGCCTGGTACCCATTTCCACCTGGGTAAAGTGAGGAAAATTCGTGTAAATTGCCTTTCCCCAGGACACAACATCGGGCCTCTGACGGGATTCGAACCCACGACCGAGAGCCTAACCACTAGGCCACCGACGCATAACAGAGTGCATCATTTCGATCGCTTTGAACTACAAAGTTCTATATGCCCAGTACCTATTTTTCTGAAATTGACTTTAAAAATTGTGATTTTCACAATATACCAAGCTCTGTCGAATGCAATTCTATAAATATCTTGATAACGACTCCGAATTATTATCTCTACGATTTTCATAGAGCAGACAAAACATTAATTGGTGTCTGACCTCGTGGTCTTAGTAATTCAAAACGGTTTTTAAAAAATGTCAGACAGAACTTTGTAAATCTAAGGCAGCGACATATTATCTGAGTGCGACATTTGCTGTTAGTCTACTCACGTGCTGTACTGTGTGCTGATGTGTCGTATGAGCGAGGCCACGTGATCCATGGAGGGTCTCTCCTCCGCCTGTTCCCTCCAGCACTCCATGATGACGTTCTTGGTCTTGTGGTCGATGTACTCCGGAATGAACGGGCGGAACGGGAAGCTGCCACCCTGCTTGACACGTTTGATGATTTCTGAGGATTGGTGCTGATTGTTTGGGTACTCGTGCGGCGAGTTGGTGGATGTAAGGCTGGGCTGCTGTCTTTCTCTCGTCCTTCTCTGTATTTCTCTGTCTGTCTCTGTCTCTGTCTCTGTCTCTGTCTCTGTCTCTGTCTCTGTATCTGTCTCTGTCTCTGTCTCTGTGTGTCTCTGTCTCTGTCTCTGTCTCTGTCTCTCTCTTTCTCTCTCTCTCTCTCTCTCTCTCTCTCTCTCTCTCTCTCTCACTCTCTGTCTCTGTCTCTGTATCTGTCTCTGTCTCTCTCTGTGTCTCTCTTTCTCTCTCTCTCTCTCTCTCTCTCTCTCTCTCTCTCTCTCTCTCTCTCTCTCTCTCGCTCGCTCTCTCTCTCTCACTCTCTGTCTCTTTCTCTGTCCTTCTGTCCCTCTCTTTTTTTCGTTCTCTCGCTCTCTCTATATATACATGTATATATATCTGTCTCTCCCTCCCTCTCTATCTCTCTCTCTTCCGTACGTGTGTGTGTGTGTGTGTGTGTGTGTGTGTGTGTGTGTGTGTGTGTGTGTGTGTGTGTGTGTGTGTGTGTGTATGTGTATATATGTGTGTGTCTGTAGGAGTGTGTGCCTGTGTATTTGTGTGTGCGCGCGTTTTCTTTCTTTCACTGGTCTCCCTTTCTTTCTCTCTCTCTGTACTCAAAGAAACACTGGATAAGTTATTTCTCACAAAAAACAAGGTTTCTTTGTTTGCGCTAAAAGTAGCATAGTGACACGATAATGGTAATTCAATGCCGGGAAATGGCAAGACAGAATAAAGATGAACAGAGGGAAACAAAAGGAGTGGGACCTTTCAGTTGCATCGTCCAGCCGCACTACTTCCAACAAAAGAATCATAAGATCTGTCAGCCAATAATTGATTTAACCATTAAATCTTTCTATACTCTTATTAACAATGTCCACTGCTGTAGACAGTCGAGTCAAATTCCTATATATAATATGTTTAATATGTTTGAAAGTGGCCAGTTTTGTATGAAGAGGCAAAAGCTACTGTTTAAGCTAAAGTTCAACACAATTCTAAAACAAAACGAAACAAAACGAAGCAAAACGAAAGAAAGCACACCTTCCCTACTTCCCCGTACAAAAACAACCCCCCCCATAAAAAACGAAAGGGAAAAAACAAAAGCAAGCCAAAAAGAAACCCAAAACATATTTAGGATTCTTGGTCTTGATCAGATTCACTTAATGAAAATAGTGAAGGCTTCTTTTGGTTATGTGACATCGCTGTTTAAGACTTTTTTCACGTCGAACGCCGGTGCTGATTAACTATCTAATCTGTAGTGAATGTGTATTTTGTGTCTGTGTTCTGTCTACAATGACTGTACAGTGTTCTTCTTCTTCTTCTTCTTCTTCTTCTTCTTCTTCTTCTTCTTCTTCTTCTCTAATTACCCTTAGGCTCCATAAGATCCTCTGTGAGGTGTATCGCGCTGCCTGCCAGGTCTGTGAAGTGCCGCTCCAGGGAAGGCTTGCGTTTCCGCTTATTCTTTCTCTTGATCTGTGACACAGCCTTCTCCTGAGCGTGAGTCGCGGAGAACGCCTCGTACACCTCACTCACTGCCATAGAATTGCACAATATAATGTTTTATTGTGAGGACTCATTCATGTGGTGTAGTGGTTGGGTGCTTTGCTGTTGCCTGCAGGAGAGAGGCTGACAGACAGACAGACAGACAGACAGACAGACAGACAGACAGACAGACAGACAGACAGAGAAAGTAAGAGATGTGATACATATAGAGGCTCTCACCCCTCCCATTATTAAATGCTAAATCCTGCAGAAATATTGCTATCAATAACTGCATTATTTTTCAGTTGTTTACAGGTAGGCTTCACAGATACCCCTGCAACCAAGGGCAGCGCAAAAGTGCAAAAAAGAAAAAGTAATCGAAATCAAAACTCGAAAGGCAGAGAAGATGAGAGGAGAACTCCATTTATATCTTGTTCACAAGAGAGTGATTGTACTTATGTGTGTGTGTGTGTGTGTGTATGTGTGTGTAAGAGAGAGAGAGAGAGAGTGACAGATAGATAAAGAGAGAGAGAGAGATAGAGAGAGAGAGAGAG